AAGGCAGGGATGGGGATGAAGGCAGGGACCATTCCAGGGATGGGGATACAGGCAGGGACCATTCCAAGGATGCTGCCAGGCGTGTGACAAAGACAGGGATGGTGCCAGGGATGCAGGCAAGGATTGTRTGGGATCAGGGTGCTGCAGCTGTGACCCCTCACACTCTGTGCACGCTCACAGCTCATCCTCTGCTGTTGRAGCTGGGTTCTGCTCCACTGAGTGACTTGGAAGTTTGGAAGGCTGGAAAAGCTTTGCCCAGAGCTGGACATCTCCACGAAAAAGAAAATAAAAGGTGTTTTTCAGAGCAAACTATTTATTCTGGCAGACCCTGTGAGGTTTTGGGGGGAGGGAGCTGCGTGGTCTTGGGATTTCTCCTGTGGCTGAGGAGGGAGAAGGGAGCAAGGAATGGGAAATGGGAGCATGAACATCCAGGARTCTGCAGGATTCTGGGAGGGATAGGGAGGGATATCCATGGTGCTGGAGCCATCCAGAGGGGTGCTGTGGGTGACACCCCGAGATCTGGGCTCCAACCACCATCTCCTGGTGCTCTGTGCACTGCTGGCTGTGGCACAACCTTGACAGCATCTCCGTGGGGATGAGGGCCCAGTTTTATTTATTTTGGACAATTTCTCTGGCTGGGTTCAATGAATGCCCCCACAGAGGATCAATATTGGATTAGTGATTATCAACCGGGCTGGGGCACAGGGGGACCCTGCCACAGGGGGTGGCTGTGGCTGTCACTTCCATCTTTGGCGGTGGCACAGGCACGGTGACAGATCCCCACAGCTGCCAGCACTTGTGGCCACCCGTCACCGCCGGCGTGGCAGCCACGGGGCCGGACCCTGCACTGCCTGGACAGAGGGGATGGGGCTGGGAATGCACTGCCAGGTGTCCTTTGGGGCTGGGAGGTGGCACAGAGGTGGCAATGCCCGGTGGGGTGATGGCCGGGAGCTCCACGCTCCCCAGATTGCAGGATGTGGCCTTGCAGGGCCATTCGGGGCTGCAGGGGGACAGTCACTGATGGACATGAGGGTCCTGCCATTGTCACTGTCACCAAGCATGGGCTGTAACGATCCCGTGATCCCTG